GGTTTCCAAGACTTGCTGAGACGAAACCCATCCTCTCTGTTCATATTCCCTGGATGCAGTTCGATCTCAATGGCTTCCCTAATGATGCGATCCATATAGCGCGTCTTGGTGGCGAGGATGGAGGTATTCTGAAGCTGAATGCGGTGTCCCAGTTCGATGCTGTGTTCAGCTACGGCCGACTTGTCCGGATGTTCGAGACGGATGTGCCGCTGATGCTCCTTCAACCTCGTGTCCACGGAGCGGCCTGTCTGCCCAATATAGACCTTCCCGCACTCGCATGGGATACTGTATACACCCGGTGTCCTTAGGCCCAGGCTGTCTTTAACCGGCCATATAGTATACACGGCGCCAAATCCCAGAAGACTGCTTTCTTCTTTAATACTTTCATTTTCTCCTCCCCAAAAAATCAACCCATAACTTACCAACGATTGAAATTTGGCAAAGTATATATTCCTGAGTATATGTAAACTTACCTCATCTTTCAAAGATTTAATAATATAACATACCTTATTCAATTTTGAACACAAGGACTGAATATGTACACTCCATTTGAGATTTTGAGTTATATTAATACCTAAAAATCTAAACTGAGATGTATACTTAATTTTTATATTATTAAAAATAATATCTGGCCCTGAGATGTCATGCGGTTTCTTTAACTGGAATAACATAGCTTTAGTCTTATCATTATTTATAATCATATTGTTTTTTGAAAACCAAGATTCCAGTTGGATCATAATTCTCTTTATTTTATCTTGAAGGATGCTAGTAGGCTGTGTACTCTGTCCGTTAAATCACGAGTTTAATTCACCCTGCTTATAATTTGGAAAATCGAAAATTCTTGAATGTGTCACCGTGTAGTTGGTACACAGTTATCGTCGTTTTTGAGGAAACTACAGCAATGTACAGAACGGACAATACTATGTAAGATGAGGCACAGACTAAATAATTAACATTAATATTACTAAATCTACATCATGAGCCTCCAAACAATTTATTATACAGGATGATTCACGAAGTTTTATAAGTATTATAAACTTTTGGTCGATTTTCAATAGTTACGGAGTTACAATAGATTTTCGAAACGCATCAATGTGAATGCAGCGCTATGCTTCCTCTCTGTGCGACCTTGCGTTCCAGTCGACTGTGTCAGCAGATAAGCTTACCGGCTGGAATGTTGCGTTGCGTGATCCTAGGCAAAGCGATCCAGTACCGAACAGGACGTAGCGTTGGTGACTATGTGAAGTTAAGATGCCGTACACATTTTCCACTGAGGAATACGCCGATATGGTGTTTGTTTTGGGTGTATGTGATGGAAATGTGAGAGCCGCTGCTGCCGAATATCACCGGCGTTATCCTATTCGCAGGATTCCGAATCCTAAATCCATTAGCAGTACATTCAGCACATTAAGATACACTGGTTCTCTCTCCAGCGTTCGTATACAATACGAACGAAATCCTCAACATGGATTGTGCGAAGAAGAAACCATTCTCGATGCTGTAGAGCGCATTCCTCGTGCCAGTACAAGACGTCTAGCTCGGCGGTTTGGTGTTTCGTAGTCCATGGCGTGGAGGACTCTTCATGAGAACGGGCTGCATCCTTACCATTTACAAGTACACCTACAACCAGGAGATCGTGCTCTTCGTCTGCAGTTCTGCAACTGGTTAAATGGAAATCGGCAGTTGTACCGCTTGATAATGTTCTGCGATGAGGCACAGTTTACACGGGACGGGGTCAGCAACAGTCACAACTTTCATGTTTGGGCAGACAGTAATCCCCGTGCCACGATAGAATCGAATTTTCAGTGTCAATGTCTGGTGTGGTGTTCTGTATGATCAGCTAATCGGGCCGTTCATTTTATTGCATTTGGGGCTGGATGAAGGACATTGCGTACCAGGTAAAGGTACAAACACGTGAAGCGTTGCTTGAACGTATACTGGCCGCGGCGATGACAATAAGGAACAAACTTGTGGAACTGCGAAATGCTACGAGCGCGGTTCATACGGGTGCGACGTGTTGTGTTGACGTGCAGGGAGACATTTTTGAAAATCTTATGTAAATCAAGTCGTCTTCTAAAGCACTACAGTCCAAAGGAAACAGGGTGATAGAAGGGTGTGATATGCAACCATTGGTATGTTTACAGAATGGGATGCTGAAAATAATGTAATTTTGTAACATAAAATCGATGAAAAATGTTGCACAAAGCAAAATTAAGAAATTGAAAAAAAAATTGGTTTTAGAATGATTCTTTCCTAAAACATTAACGATTTAAAAAGTGTTTGTATTGTATTTCTTATTTGTTTTTGCTGAAAATCGAAGAAAAAAGATTTTTCGCCAGTTTTCAAATTACTGTATCCCTACAATTATGAGTCGGATACCATTAGTATATTAACATTTTTTGTTCCAAATTACCTCGGGAATGCCCCCCCAAAGGGGGGGGGGTAAAACTTCGTGAATCACCCTATATATATACAAAATATAGAATACTCCGAGTTGTCCGTGGAAACACAACAAAATAAAAACCGATGACACTCAATGATGTAAAACATCACTTGAAGAATTTTATTCTTGTTTTATATAACCTATTTTATTGTATTTTTATGCAAAGTATTTTAATGTAATTAATATTATTGTATCCAATTTTATTAGTACTGCAGTTCAGTGGTGTATACAATATGTTAATCATGTATTTGCCTGATGATGGCTTTTAATACCTGAAACATGTAGCAGAGCCAAACTAGGCACTGACCTTAATATCGTGTTGTGACGGTTTTAATAAAGAAATTGTATAACACAGTAGGATGCATGAAATGAAAATTAGTCAATTGGGTTCATAATGAGAATTAGAATTATTAATATTAATCATCTTAAAGTGGTATATTATGCATATTATCACTCATTGGTGAAAACTGAATAATATATTGGGGAAATACATCTGACAGGCATAAGGGCTTTGTTATGCAAAAGAAAATATTAAGAATAATGATGGGAGTGGGCCCAACTCATACATGTAGGGTCCTATTTAAAAAGCTTGGCATATTACCAATCCCCTGTGTATATTTCCTCTCACTGGTGACATTGGTTGTTAATAATTTTTATAAGTTTCAGACCAATACCAAAAAAATTAACTCCACGGCCTGTAGTCTGCAAGCGAACTATACCGACAGAGTGATCGCCGCTTGTCGGCGAAGTTAGTGCCAACTTTAGCGGATAGAGGGTGTTGTGTGGTCAGCGCAACAAATCTCCACTGCTGTTAATTTCGGTTTTCTAGACCAGAGCCACTATTTCCTTGGAATAGCTCCTCAGTTATCCTCATGAGGCCGATTGGACACCGTTCCAGACCCACTACTTCTCAGAAAATCTGGTAGCACTGGGAATCAAACCAGAACCTCTGGATCTATAGCCAGGAACTCTGACCACAGAGGCGGTCTAAGTTCCGGACCAATAACTTTGCATATATGATTAGTACAAGAAGGAAAGACCATCTTCATATACCTACAATGCATTTATCATCTTGTCAGAGAGGGGTGTGTTATGTAATACTCTACCGTCAAATATCTCAGCTTTAAAAAAAATGATAAAAACCAATTTAGGTTTGTTCTACAAAATTATTGGCAAAGAAACTCTTTACTCTATTGACAAATTTACTGAACATACAAAAAAAACTCAAATGTTAGGAGTGAATGAACAGTCTCTGTGCTTATATTATATGTTGTGAAATTTTGCTTGTTATAAGTGTGGGAGTATGTATAGTAACTATTTGGTATGAATTTCAAAATATGTTAAAATGAAACTATACTGATAATATGGGGCACGTAGTAGCGTACTGGTTAAGGCACTATGCTACAAGTCAGAA